CCCGCCCCCCACCCCCCCCCCCCCCCCGGACCCTCCCCTTCCACAGGAGCAGCACCAGCAGTGCCAGCACCAGCAGCCCAGCCAGCACAGCCAGGAAGATGACCCACCAGGGGACTCCTCCTGCCACCACAGCAATGGGGTCCAAGTATACCATCACTGGGATCTGGGGAGCAAGGAGTTAACGGAGCAAGAGCTGGAGGGAGCAGGGGAGACGAGAGCCCTCCCACCCTCCCTGTAGCTCACCACTGTGGAAGCATCTCTGAGCAGCAAGTTCTTGATGGAGGACTTCACTGTGACGTTGGCTCGGACAATCACTTCCAGGGACTTCACAGCTGTGTACTCCTACAGGAGTAAGGAAGAAGACCCTCCTACTAAATGTCCATGGACCCCTCCCCTTCCCCACCCCCACCCAATGCTTCGTGGCCTCCTCCCCCCACCCCAGCTTCTGAAATTGTAAATGGGATGGTGCCCAACACAGAGGGTGTTTCTGCCTGGCTCGGGTTAAGAATCTGCTCCATTTGGGACAAGGCAGAGTAGTAATAGAAGCAAGTACCAGAAGGGCTTTTGGGAAAGAAGAAAGCCAGCCTGGAGCCCCAGGAGTGCCCTCACCTCCAAAAAGGTGCTATTCCAGAGGCGGCCCCAGACGTGCAGCACAGCCACACGGTCAAAGCTATAGAGCGGGCAGCTGAACACCACACAGTTGGCCGTGCCCCGGGCACAGTCCTAGGGACAAGGAGAGGCAGGGTTCTGAGTCACTCGGCCCTACCCCAGTAAGCATAACATCTCTCCCATTTTCCTTACCTGATTTCAAACTTCTCTCCTCCAGGAAGTCTTTCCAAACTAACCCTGTGGTCCAAATAGCTGCCTATCTCAAATCTGAGTTCTTTGGTTTTGAAATGCACGGGGTCATAGAGGGGGCCTCTTACTTGACAGTGGCAGACAGAATAGCTTCCCCGATCGATGACTATGTTACCTAATGGCAGAACTGCTTACTGAGTATCTGCAGATACTTACCTCACCTAAACTTCACAACAGTCCCGAAAGTATATATTACCACCTCATTTTCCAAACAAGGAAATTGAGACCTAAGGTGACAGGTGACCTGCAGATATTTGAACTCAGGCCATAGCAAAGCCACATCCCTACATCACGCCCAAACTTACTGAACAAAGAGGAAGCTGCCCGCAGAGCAGCTGGGAGGGCAAGGGACTCAGACACTGCTCCTTCCAGACCTGATCTAAATCCATTTGGCCTCATCACCAGCTAATGACTCGTTTGCCTAAAAGCACATCGTATTCATCACACCACAATCCATGTACGCTATTTAAAAATGTCTTTGAGAGTGCTTGAATTCATTGAGTCATCCATCTTTTATTTCTGCACTTTCTGATCAATTCAAACATTCTCAATCAATTGGTCTATAAGCAAAGCCACTTGCCTTAGCTTTAGGTAAAATATTTTGGATAATTATGTGAGATGAAATGAGCCAGGCACAGAAAGACAAACACTACAGGATCTCACTCATATGTAGAATCTAAAAAAATTAAATAAGAAAAACTTACAGGAGAGCAGAATATCGTGGGACCAGTCCATGGCCCATAGGTTAGGTTAAGTAAGCTGGATGCCACATGGCCAACATGCACTTTGAGTCCTGGACTTGCAGGTGTGTGTGCAATCACCCAAAATCCCAAGAGGAGGGAGAAACGGAGAAGGGACTGTGGCCTGACTGTGCCCCATAGGGGGTATTTTCTCACTTTCCCTCTCTCTGTCTCTCTCTCTCTCTCACTCTGGTGAGCACCTTTGCCCTCTGGCAATTTTTTTTAAATAAATAAATAAAAGTAGAATCATGATTACCAGGGCTGGAGGACTGGGGATGGTTGGAAAGATGGTTGATCAAAGAGTACAGAGTTTCAGTTAGGAGGAATAAGTTCATGAACTCTAGTGTACAACACAGTGACTGTAATTAATAATAACACATTGTGGGTCAGTAGATGGCATGGTCGTTAAGGGTGCTGGATTCCCACATGGCCAATTGTGTTTGGAGTCCCGGACCTGGCAGATTGCTTTCTCACTTTTCCCTCCCTGCCCTGGTAAAGTTAAAAATAAATGAATGGGGACCAGCAATTGGCATAATAGCTATGTCGCTGGACTCTCACGTAGTTGACCGCGGTTCGAGTCCTGGACCCCGTGGTTTATATTCACGCTCGGTGCATATGTGTGCGTGCCTAAGATCCCAAGAGGAGAATGAAGGAGAAAGGATTGTGGTGTGGCCATCCCTCCCTGGGGGGTGATTTCTCACTTTCTGTCTCTCTGTCTTTGTCTTTCTGGCAAGCGCATGCATCCTACAGCAAAAACCTCTCCAAAAAGAAAATAAATAAATAAATAAATGGATAAATAAAGTTAAATAAAGCAATTCTTACACCCAAAAAAAACAATACATTGTATCTTGAATATCACTAAGTAAATAAGTGAAGTATATTCATTGGTCCAGTCTAGCCATTCCACAATGTATACATACTTCAAAACATCATGTTGTATAAAATGAATATATATATAATTTTGTCAGTTAAAATAAATATATTTTTGGACCAGCAGGTAGCATGTTGGTTAAAGTGCTGGACTTCCACATGGTCGACCATTGTTCGAATCCCAGATCCAGAGGCTTGAAACACACCAGGCACATGTGCAATGTGAGCAAGCATGCCCAAAATCCCCAGAGGAGAAGGGAGGAGACGGGATTTCAATGTGGCCATCCCCCCTGGGGGTAATTTCTCACTTTCTGTCTCTCTGGCAAGCTCAAGCACTCAAGCACGCCATAGCAAAAATCTCTCAAAAATTAATAAATAAATGTTTGTTACATTTTTTAATAAGCCAGAGGGCACATGTGCTCACCAAAGAGATAGAGAGAAAGGGAGAGAACAAGCCCCAGTGGGGCACTGCAATCCTTTCTCCTCCATGTCTTCATCCTGTTGGCATTTGGGGTACATGCACCTGACATGTTTTTCAAACCGCCTGGGTTGGGATTAAAACCATGTGGTCAGCCATGTGGAATCCAGTTCCCTTAACCACTAGACCATGGGACCAACCCTTAAAGTTTTTAAATCTTTTTTTTGGACAAGTTTTTGCTATAGGGCGCATGCACTCACCTGAAAGACAGAGAGACAGAGAGACAGAAAGTGAGAAATCACCCCCAGGGGGGATGGCCATGCCGTAATCCCTTCTCCTCCATTCTCCTCTCGGGATCTTGGCCACACACGCACACGTGCCCAGCGTGAGTTTAAGCCACCAGGTTCAGGACTCGAACCACGGTCAACTACATGGGAGTCTAGCGACATAGCCATTAACGCCATCTGCTGGTCCCATTAAAACCTATTTTAACGCTCTTACTAAAAAGAGAGGCAGGTGGCATGGTGGTTAAGGGCACTGGACTCCCACATGACCAACCATGGTTCAAGCCCTGGACCTGGTGGCTTGCTTTCTCACTTTCCCCTCTCTTCTCTCTCTCTCTTATCAAATTAAAATAAATAAATAAATAAATAAAAGTTAAATTATTTTTTTTAAAAAAGAGATTGAGAGAGAGAGGCTTCAGGCCAGCTGGTGGCATGGGGGTTAAGGCACCAGATCCCATATGGCTGACTCCACAGTTCGAGTGCTGGACCCAATGGCTTGAAAATTCATGCTGGGCATGGGAGCATATGTATGCCTAAAATCCTAAGAGAAGAATGGAAGAGAAGGAATTATGGCATGACCATTGCCTCTTTTTAATTTTTTTAGAAGTATTTATTCAATTTTATTTATTTATTCATTTATTTTAATTTGACCAGAGAGAGAGAGACAGACAGAGAGAGAGCAGAGAGAAAGAAAGAAAGAAAGCTGCCAGATCCGGGACTCAAACCGTGGTCGGCCATGTGGGAGTGTCCAGCAACTTAACCAACACGCCACCTGCTGGACCCCACCATCCCTTCTTGATTCCTTACTTGATCTCTTTCTGGTCAGTGCACACACCCCATAGCAAAAAGTTTTAAAAAGGCAGGGTGGGGGGGCAGTAGGTGGCATGGTGGTTAAGGCACTGGATTTCCACATGGCTGACTAGGGTTTGAGGGCCAGACTTGGTGGCATCCTTTCTCATTTTCCCTCTTTCTGTCTTTCTCTCTGTATCTTTCTAGTGAGCACATGTGCCCTATAGCAAACTTCTAAAAAAATAGTAGTAATTATAAATAAAGTAAATAAATCATTAAAAAAAAAAAACATAAAAATTTGGGCTGGCTCCATGGCCTACTGGATCCCACATGGCCAACCACATGAATTAAGTCCTGGACTCAGCAGCTTAAAAACATGCTAGGGGGGGAACCAGCAGTTAGCGTAATGGCTATGTCGCTGGACTCCCACGTAGTCGACCGCGGTTCGTGTCCCGGACCCGGTGGCTTAAAACTCACGCCGGGCGCGTGTGCGTGCGTGCTCAAGATCCTGAGAGGAGAATGGAGGAGAAGGGATTGCGGCGTGACCATCCCCCCTGGGGGGTGATTTCTCGCTTTCTGTCTCTATGTCTTTCTCTGTCTGTCTGGCGAGCGCACGCGCCCTACAGTGAAAATCTCTCAAAAAAAAAAAAAAATGCTAGGGGGACCAGCATGGGGTGTGGCAGTTAATGTGCTGGAATCCCACAAGGCTGACCTCAGTTCAAGTCCCGGACCTGGAGGCATAAAAATCATGCTGAGTACATGTGTATGCATGCTCAAAAATCCCAAGAGAGAATGGAGGAGAAAGGATTACAGAGTGACCATCCCCTGTGGGGGGTGATTTCTCACTTTCTGTCACTCTCTCTCTCCAGCAAGTACATGTGCCCAATGGAAACACACACACACACACACACACCCCATAGTAGGTGCATGTGCACACATGCCCATAATCCAAAAAAAAAAGAGCAATATAAAGGAGAAGGGACTATTCCTTATTGGAAATGCTTTCTTCTCTCCTCTCTCTCTGTCTCTCTTTGGCAGGTGCACACACCCTCTAGCAAAAAAAAAAAAAAAGAAAAGAAAAAGAAAAAATTAATTCAGTGCTTTTTGACATGAAAATCAAGCCAGTGTCCTTATGAAAACTGACTTTTCTACTCTAAAAGAGTTCAAAAGAGGGACCAGCAGGTGGCATAGTGGATAGGCGTGCTGGATCTAGAGGCTTGCTTTCTCTTCCTCTCTCTCTGTCTTTCTGTCTCTGTCTGGTCAAATTAAAAATAATAATAACAAAGGGAATTAAGTAAATAATTAATTTTTTGAAGAGTTTAAAAGAACAAACATCTCCAAGGAAGCTAGCCCCATCCCGCCCCCTGTGGAGTGCAATAGCTGATTATGAATGTGCTTGGCTATGTGGCTTTAGGCCAAGTGCCTTCTGAGGTTAGCAGGTGGGGGCTGTGTAGACTGTCAGTAGCCGCCTCACAGGCACCCCTCCTGGGAGTTGTGTGAACTGTCTTGTCAACTTGCTGCAGGTGTTTGACTGGGAGTCTGCCCTGGCCAGCATCCCTGGACATCCACCACCTGAAGCTCCAGGTCCTGCAGCATCCTCTATTACACCACACGCCCCATACTGGTTGCACTGCCCTGGCCCCGCCCTCACCAGGGTAATGTTTTTTTTCTTCTCTGCAGAGGACACAGGCCACCAGGATGTGCTGGGCTCCAGATGCTCACGAGGCTCTAGTGGTTCCGGCTGCCCCAGCTCCCGCCGCCTGCGATCCTTGCTGTCCACATCCTGGATATGGTGGTAGAGGAAGGGCTCAGTGAGTATCCCTCCAAACAGCGATCTGGTGGTCACCTCTTCCCCATGGCCTTTGTCCTAGCCGCACTCAGGCCCCACAATATTCCTCCCAAAGTCTAGCCCTTTACACACACTCTGCCCAAGCCTCACCAGGTGGAGGATGTTGGGCCTGGGGGAACAGACCCCTTTCTGCCCGGGCGCTTGCCCGCCCTCCAACTCTACACGCATAGGGTACAACAGCCACTTCCCATTGGCAATCTCATGGGGCCACATGATGTTGAGGAAGGCAGAACCAAGGGTGTTGAGTGACTGGCCTTGGTTGGAAACCTGTGGGCACAAGAGAGTATGAAGGGAGGGAGTTCCGTTTCCAAGCAGACCCTAAATCCACAGAGATGGAAGGGACAGGCCAGAGCAGAAGGCCTCAGAAAGCATCTTTCCAACCAAGACTGGGGAACCCAGACCCCACGAAGCACGATTCTCTCCCCATATCAACTCAGGAACACCTGGAGGTCTCCCAGGGGGTGTGAAGGGCAGCCCCAACCAAGCAAAGACAGGGTCTAGGAGAATCAACATTGTCCCATGTCCTCATCCCCTAGCTGATGGCCTCCTGGACCAGCAGGTGAGATGGCAAGTCAGAAATGGCTAGGACATGTTCCCCTGAGGCTCCAGCATGAACATCTGCCCACAGCCAATGTCCAGGTGTAGGGCAGAGGCCTCAAACTCAGGACCACCAGCTGCCATCTGGTAGGAGAGCCCCAGGCCTGGGACTTGGCCCACCCAGCCCTTCCTCTGTGACAAGAAAGGAAGGAGACCAGGGAGCGACCCCATACCAGGACACTTACTGTGACCTCGTACTTGACCTTGCTGCCCACATCCCGCTCGGACCGCATGGCGCTCTCACCCCTCACCACGCCAGAGAAGAAGAGCTGCTGGGGGATGGCCACCCTGGTGTGGAGGGGTCAAAACAAGGGCTGAGGAGGCCTGAGGTCAGGAGGGTAAGTTCAGGAGAGGCAGGGCCCAGGCCATGGTTTGTGAGTGGCAGTGCCCCTCACCCTCCAGCAGGGGTGCCCACTTGGGCCAAGCTTACCCTACAACGGACAGTGGCAGCTCAATGATGACACGGGCTCGAGCAGAGACCGGATGCAGCTCCTGTTCACTGATCCTGGCGTGTGGGCAAGGCAAGCATGGACAGGAGGTTCAACACCCCCTTCAGGGGTCAGATGTAGCCGATTCAACGCTGATCCTGGTGTGTGGGCAAGGTAAGCATGGACAGGAGGTTCAACACCCCTTCAGGGGTCAGATGTAGCCGATTCAACTGCACCCACCCTTACCACCACCCTCATACCCCTACCCGGTCAGGCTTACGTGGCCAACAGCAGGTGCACCTCCAGCTCCGTGGTCTCAATAGTAATCCCCGAGGTGCTAAGGATGAGGTAGAAAGTGACCTACGCCATGGGAGGGGCGAGATTAGGCTCCGGAGAGAGCAAGGGACTTTAGGAGAGGTCAGGGTTAGGAGCTGCTCAGACAGGGATAAGGACAGACGTGCCAACCTGGGCACCTCTCTTCATGGGGTTCCCCAGCTCGCACTCAACATGGGACGCATTCTCATTGGACAGGCAGAGCGGCTTCTCCTAGAATGGGGAGAAAAGGAGAGGTCGGTGGGGTTACTGGAGGCCCTGGAGATCCCACCCCACCCTGGTCCAGGTCCTCACCACAGAATCCAGGGCCCGGACTCCTGAGTAGTGCAGCGAGGCAGGAAGGGAGACCAGGAGCTGGGCTTCGTGGGCATCATCCCCATCAGCCTGGGGCTGGGCTGGGTTTGAGGGCAGGTTGGTGACCGTCAGCTCCAGGCCGATGACTGGCTGCCCACTTAGTGCAAACAAGGCTGTCGTCCCATCTTTGTCCCTAGACAGCCAGATCCCACTCTAAGATCGGAACACCTTCTCCCGCCCCCCCCCACTCCCAGTTCCTTCCCCAGTTCACACTGCCTGCCTGCTCCCTGAGCCTCCCTTCTCACCCCAAAAGGTTCTCCCCAGTCACACACCAGAAAAGTCTCAGGTCTCTCCATGCTCAACTGGGAGTCAGGAGACCTGCTCCACCACTGACTGACTTTGAGGTTTGACTTAGTTCCACTAATTCCTACCTCACAGAGTCGTGGAAAACAAATAATGAGATGTCTGTAAACTGCATGTTATTACGTGTATTTTTTATCTTTTATTCTTTCTTCTGCTTGATATAGGGAGCATGCACTTATGGGGGAATGAAAAATTTCCCCCCCCCCCAGGGGGATGGCCATGCTACAATCCCTTCTCCTCCATTTTCCTCAGGATTTTTGGGCATGCATGTGCACACACACACACACACACACACACACAGGGTAGTTTTCAAGTTGCCAGGCCTGAGACTCCAATCACTATGCCAGCCATGTGGGATCTAGCTGCTTTAACCAACATGCCACCTAGCTAACCCTATTTCATGCATTAGAACCCGTGTAACTACTCCCTCCCTCTGCCTAGGCCTCCTGAGAGACTCCTTCCCTTCCTTAATTGCTTGACCTCCCACCTCATCTGCTCCCCGCCCCCCTCACATGGGCAGAGGCTGGAACTCTGTGTCGCTAAGGCGGGCACAAAAGCGGGCATGGACCAGCTGTAGATTGCTCTGGCAAATCTTGTCCTCACCACAGCCTTGCTTCAGGAAGTGGATCTGAGGAGAGATGGGAGGACAGGGTCATTCCTGGGGAGCTAATGTGTCACTAAGGCACACGGTGGGTTAGAGTATTCAACTCCCAGATCGTAGAGTATCAGGGATTAAAAACTATGTTCAAGTCTCAGATCTGCTGTTTCCCAGCTGTGTGACACTGGAACAGTCATTTAACCACTCGGAGCTCTGTCCTCATCATTATGATGACAGCATCGCCATGCCATAGCGGAGACTAGCAGCCCTAGCCACAGGAGACCACATTCCCCAGCCTGGCTTACATGTGACTGAATTCCAGATTTAGAACACGACACCTGCACTAAGACACACTCAGAGCACCACCTCTGGGCTGGCCATGAAAGCCATGCGAGGAGCTTCATGTCCTGCCTTCCAGCTGAATGGGATAAAGACCTCTAGAGGACTATGGAGACCATATTTGAAGATGACAGACCCCCAACTACAAACACATGATCATTCAGGCCATTTTACATATTGGGATCTACTTGCTACAGCACCGAGGGATTGCAGAACGACTGGGGCAATGCGTGAAAGAGCCTTGTAAGCTATGAGTGGGTGTCACTGGTGCAGAACCATAATCATTGCCCTCCCAGCTCCTCTTTCAGAGTTAAACCAGAATCCTTGCTCACCTCTGCCCGTTGGGTGCTGGGCTGGTGGGCATTGAGAATGGGGGCCACAGGGAGAAGCCCCTGGCCAGGAACTTGTCGCCGAAGACGAGGGGTCTGGAGACTGTAGGACAAGGTCACCACAATGGGCCGAAGCTTGTCTTTAACATTCTCCTGGAAAGAGAAGAGATAATTCCTCACTGAAACAACCCCCAAGCTCCAGCCCTGCCCAAAGCCCCAGCCAAAACTTAGAAAGAGGTTGAAGGAGATGAAGGAAAGAGGTGAAGAACTGAGCGAGGAGGAGGGAGAGAGACTATGATAGGAAAGGGGGAAGACCCAGGCTGAGAGCTTTGAGAAGCAGATGTAACAAAGGAACCTTCCATCTCCACCCCCAGAGAGTGCAGAACTTGACAGGAGAAGTAGGAAGGCAGCGGGTGAGGAGAAGGTGAGCCCAGAACAGAGCATTCCCGCAAGTCAGATCTAGAAGGAAATGCAGGTGTTCTAGGGGAAAAGCTGAGAGGAATCTAGGCAAAGTGATTGGGCAATGACAATGACCCTCAGAGGCCAACGGGCCAGTGTCCACCTGTAGCTGGAACATGGTGTCTCCACAGACTCGGTCATGTTGACGCTTCAACCACACCGTGCCAGAGGCCTGGTGCTTGGGGTCATCCAGGCTACGGCTCAGGAAGATGACACGGGGGACCTGGCCCCGGAGCCTCCGGTCTGTGTCCCCGTCCAATACATAATCCAGAGCTGTGGTAAGTGGGGACAGGAGAGGAGCCAGTGAACTGGGGACCTGCCCCATCTGACCCTGTCCCCGAGGGGTCCAATGGGCTGAGTGGTTGGAGGGGGACCTCACTCACCTACGATAGGGCTATAGCTGCTGGGGGTTGCAATGTAGCTAAAACAGATCCTTAGGTCCACACTGTGGGGACAAAGGATGGCTCCTGAACCAAACGAGGTCCCAACCCCTGCCATTCTTTGTCCCAGCCCCAGCCTCCAGGCCCCAGCTCCACCTGGAGAGAGAAAGGGAGAACAGGGGGGAAACTGGACCCCAGCAGCCTTCCCTCCCCTCCCCACTCCCTTCTCCTGAGATCCCACCTCACCAGACCGAGTGACCACCAGCACAGTTGGGCTGTTCAAGGTCAATGGTTCGAGGAGCAATGAAGACCTCATGGGACACATGGAGGACAGGTCTGGCCCTGGAGGGATAGAGAGTCCAGGGTGCAAGAAACATCATCATGACTCTGGGGGGGAGGACTCTCCAGCATCGGGTTTGGCACCTGGGTGGGGCCAGAGTCACACGGAGGGGCTAATGACCTCAGGGAGGGAGAAGGCAGAGGAGAGGCGTGGGCTCACCTGAAGAGCACAGCAGTGTCAGCCAGGGAGCCCACCAGCAGGTCAGGATAGTGGTTTCCATCCACATCCAGGCCACCCGATAGGGAGTAGCCAAAGCTCCTGATGCCCACAGCCTCGCCCTCCAGCACCTGGGGGGGGGGGCACTGTCAGCCTCCCCCTACCTCATCTCCCCTAGACCTTGGCCTCCCCACCCTTACTCCACCCCCCTTCTCCTTCAATCCAAGGACCCCGGTCACCTGTGAAGGTTTGATGACAACCCCCAGGCTGCTCCCATGGTAGATAAAGACTTTCCCATCCCCGTCAAAGGGCGCGCCCACTGCGAAGTCTGCAGGGCAGGACAGAGGCGATCACGCTGGCAGGGCGTGGAAGGCAGGTCCCAGCCCCGGAGTCCCCGGTCACTCGGCCCAATGTAATACGCTTCCCACTTTACTGAGGAGATACTAAGTCCCAGGCACCCTATGTTATATAACTTCTGACCCTCTCGGTCACTCCCTCTGGATACTAGTAGGTTGTCAGAAAAGTCAAGACATTTTTCTGCTTTTCTATACAAAAATGCTTCATTACTTTCTAGACAACCCAATATGAGCTCAGAAAGGTTAAGCAGCAGGGTCACAGAGCTGGTAAAGGGTGACGCTCAGATGTCAGCCCAGGCTCCTTCTCTCTGGGCCCTCAGAGACCCCTCCCCACCCTGCCCCACACCCTCCCTCCACTGAGCCTTCCCGGTTCCCAGTCACACCTGGAAAGCCATCTTGGTTGAGGTCCCCTAGGACAGCCAGGCTGATCCCAAACATGGAGTCGGGGGAGCCACAGAGCCGGAGAGGGGAGACCCCATCCCAATGGCCCCCCTCGTTCATGTACACATACACAGCACCCCCCAACTCTTCTTGGCGCTCAAAGAAGTAGGGGGCACCCACTATCAGGTCTGGCCAACTATGGAGAGAAGGAGATGATCAGTGTGGGGTCCTCCCTGGCCAGAGGACTCAGAGGGAGATGCCAGAGGCCACTGACCCCTCTTGGACCCAGCCTCCCCGGGCCCTATCCACGCCCCTCCCCCACTCTCACCCATCATTATTGAGGTCAGCTACGGCCAACGAGTAGCCAAAGCCGGAGGTCAGGCGCTCCCCAGACAGCATGACTTCAGGCACCAGGCGACTGGCACTGTCCTTGCGCAGAATGACCACAGCACCCTTGTGGTTGGCACGGGGGGCCCCTGCCACAAAGCTCAGCTCCTCTGCACGCACCAGACCCTTCCCTGAGTCCATGGAGAAACCTGGGCGGGGGATGACTCACCAGTGAGTGTTCCTCCAAGGCTCAGAAACCGGAGTGTGCCACTGCCCCCTCCCAGCATCTGTCCCCTCCCGACAGGTCCTTAGACAAAAGGTGCCCCCAAGTCATCGCCACCGCAGCTGAACCAATCACACCCTTCCTCCCCTTCCAGAGGCCTGGCAGCCTTCCACACTGCCGGGTCCGGGGACTAAAGTTTGACAAAAGAGGTGGGGAAGAGGTCAGCCTCATGGGCTGGGGAGGAGACAGAAAGGTGGTGATGAAGGAGGCCAGGTGTCTGGGCTGCAGGCTGAGCACAGGAGCAGGCGCTGGGCAGCCGCACCACCCACGCCCACGCCCACGCCCACGCCAGGGACTACAGGAGGGGCGCTCTCTCCCTCTGCACACCCTAGGCGCCCGGTCTTTGCCTCCACTCCCCCTACCCTGGCAGAGAGGAGGTTTTCATGTAGATGAGGGGGAGGCAAGCAGAATGAGGAAGAGTTTGCTTCACCCAAACATCTCCCAGCCTCCTTTCCTCCTCGTCTGCAGAGGCATGCAGATGGGACAACGAGAGGGATTGACCAACAGGCTGGACCTTTCTCCAGCCTGTGCTCATCCCCATCTCTCAGAGAAAGTCCCACTGGAGATCAGGACTGTCTGCCCGGGATCTTCTCGACCCTGCCCCCTCACTCCACCTGGGCCTTCCTCACTCACGACACTCCTACATTTAGTGCCCCTCTTCTCAGGCCTGTCATGGGACTCAGCTTTTCCCTGTACTTGGGGCCCATGTGTGTTTCCCTGGGGTGACAAGGCAGGAAAGGAGGTGCTCCCTGGGGGAGGTCATGGGGCTTACAAACCTAAGTAGCTATTCAGGGCCAAGTCTCCGGCTGGTCCTGGGAGCCGGTCAGCAGGGTCCAAAGTTTTATACACCAGCTGGTCAGGGTCTGAGCTATCAATGCTGGTCACAAAAAGCAACCCTGTGGGGGCAGGTGGGGGGAGACACCAGGGGAGGGACATCCGGAAGAGGGACCACAGAGGGAGACCGGAAAGTCAAAAGAAGACAGTGGAAGAAGAAGAGGTACAGAAGGAAGATGAGAGACAAAGAAGCCAGAGAGACGAGTCAGAGAGAGACAGGGTGAGACAGAAACAGATGGAAGGGTGGGAACGTGGAGAGGAAGGACAAGAGAAAGGAGCAGAGGGTTAGAGCAGCTCTGACCGGGGAGGGGTCCCTACCAAAATAGCTGTTGGCAGGGACCGGGATGAGGCGGGGGTCCTGCTCCTTCTCACCCCCCGCCTCGTACGGCCCGTCGTCCAGGTGTGCCAGGTCCGCCGAGCCCTGCACACAGAGCTCCACCCTGGCCGTGCCTGCAAGGACAGTCCCATTAGTGCCCCGGACGGGGAGTGAGGGGCACCCCTACGGCCAGACACGAGGGAGACAGGCACACAGGGAAGCCCCTCCTCTCCTTCCCAGCCTGTCTCACATCCAAGCTTCCTGGGGTGCCCCAGACTTGGCATCGCACTCACCCAGTGTCAGCTCAGCCAGCGGCAGTGTGCAGACGGGGATGTCAGGGATGACTGTGGGCTGGCATGGAGGAGCATGCAGGTGTGGCTGGGAGGCGGGCCCCGCTGTGCACGTGGGGCTCATGCCAGCGTGTTGAGGAACACTTGGCCATGCGGAGAAGAGGAGGCACCCCCACGCATGTTCCCACATGTGCTAGCACCATGGAGTAGGAATATGGCATTGCCCCAGGACTATTGGCAGTGAACATGTGGGCATGCTAGGCCGGTGCTGCTCCAATCCTGACTCTGGGGCAGGAGGAGGTTTTGGTCCCCTCCACCTCTCCCCAAGGAGTGACTCACCCTTCCAGTTATAGGTTCCTGGGGCCCCAAAGAGAAGGTAGTGGCTGTCTGGAGAGAAGGCCACAGCTGTGCCCTGCTGGCAGAACCCAAATTGTTCATGGCCCTGGGGGCGCCCCTCGCAGAACTTCCACTCCCCACCATCCAACTCATCGCGGATGGAAAGGTCCTGGCTTAGCATGAAGCAGCGACCAATCACGTCCCGCGTCTCCAGGATCTGGTCTACTCGCTGCCTCGCCTCGTATCTGTGTGCGCAGGTCTGTGAGAAGAGAGGAGCGATCAGTGCACCTGTGGACCAGGGGTCTGCTTGAGACACGCTGCCCACATGTGGACACTAAGTGGTGCACACTAAGTATGTTTGCACGTGCGCACACACACACACACACACACACACTCCCCTGTGCACCAGCAGCCAGCACTGACCAGGCAGGTCCACGAACAGCCCACTACCATGCATAAGCCACTGTCCAGCCTGCACTCCTCACTCTTGCAGGAGGACATTCTTGCTCCACACATCTGCCTGGGCACCAACAGACACAGCTAAGCCAACATGCAAAACGCATGCCTCCCTGGCTGTCAGACAATCCTCCAACATACCAGCTTAGTCTTGTCCCTGGGCCTTTCTAAGTGCCACCTCCTCATCTATGAAGAGCTTCCTCACGTGTGCACTCCCCAAGTATTACCCACTCTCAAAGGCCTGCTTCCAATCACCCCACCTGCAGCAGTCTCTTCCCTCCTCCTTTGGACTTTATTTATAGACTGGCGCCTGGATCACTCACTCAACACTAGCTATACTCTGCCCCGAGTAACTCGTATGGGTACAATCATTGTATATCTGTGCATGTTAGTGAAAGGTACAGAGAACAACAGAAAGGCACATGGGAGAAGAGAATGAGTCTCCATAACTATTTAGCCCCCATCTTCAGATACCCTCTCTTGGTAACCAGCACGAGCCCTGGTGTTTAAGACTCTCAATACAACTTGAGACGGATGGATGAAGGGTTAGATATTTGTAAAGGTTTTAAGAAACGGCATCATGTCTTACACCTTTGTCTATCGCCCCAGGGTCCCAAGTATGTGCCCAACTTTGTCCCGCAAGCACACCTGTGTATGCACCACACACACACACACACACACACACATCTTGCCTTCTAATTCAGTCACAGGAGGAGTAGTACTCACGACAATCTTGCCCCCAGGCCCCTGGCTCCGAACACTGACTCCCAACCACTGGTTCTCCTTGCTCTCCTTTTGCAGATTAACTGGAGGCAGGACACTGGAAATTAGGGGAAGGCAGAGGAGACCAAGTCCTGGCTTCCCCTCCTGGTGTGCTTCCCCCACCCAGCCCCACAGGGCCGCACCTCCCCGGTCGATGTCCAGTCTGTAACAGTCAGTCTCCTCCAGGCTCAGGGGGCATGCGAAGAGGCCTCCAGTGCGATTCGCCTGCTGTTCAGGAAGGGCCGGTGCCTGGGGAGCTCCCACCAGCAGCCTGCATGATGGGGCAAGGGCAGGAGCTAGAGTCAAAGCGCTCCACCCTCTCCAGGCCAACTCCCCATGTTGAACAAAGGGTTCAAGGACTAACAAGAAGGAGCAAAAGTCAGTTTTTGTTTTGTTTTGTTTTGTTTTGTTTTGTTTGAGATTTCTGCTATAGGGCGCATGCACTCGCCAGAAAGACAGAGAGAAAGAGAGACAGAAAGTGAGAAATCACCCCCTAGGGGGTGGCCACGCCCTAATTAATCCCTTCTCCTCCATTCTCCTCTCAGGATCTTGGGATCTTGGGCACTCACGCACACACACCCAGAGTGAGTTTAAGCCAACAGGTCCAAACATGGACCCACAGTACAGTAAGACTACATGGGAATCCAGTAACGTAGCCATTACACCAACTGCTGGTCCCCCGCAAAAATCAGTTTTCCCAGAGGCCAGCAGGTTGCATAGTGGTTAACGCACTGGACTCTCACATTACCAACCTCAATTCAAGTCCCAAGACTCTCACATTACCAACCTCAAGTCCCAGACCCACGGCTTGAAAATCACACCAGGTGCATGTGCGTGCATGCCCAAAATCCCAGGAGGAGAATGGAGGAGAAGGGATTGCAGCATGGTCATCCCCCCGGGGGTGATTTCTCACTTTCTGTCTCTGTGTCTCTCTCTCTCTCTTTCTCTCTTTCTCTCCAGTAAATGCATATCCCCATACCAAAAATGTCTCAAAATAATAATAATAATTAATAAATAAGTCAGTTCTCCCAAATCCTGGCAAAAACAAGGAATACCTTTGGCCATGCAGTCATGTTACCCATGCACACACTAACTGGATGAGGGGCCGGCGTGCACCGGAGACCTACAATACACAAACACACCAGTTCAAGCCGCGGTGCCCGCACTGCTGGTTTGAAAGAACCGCCTGTTCCTAGCACCTAGCCCCATCCCCAGGCTCTGCTCTCCCCTACCCGGTCCAGTTGAAACCCTGCCAGAAATGCCAAGAATGCTGAAAGCAAATGTAACAAGGGCCCAGACTGGCACTACAGTGTGACTTAGGGACAGGCTTCAAAGGTCAGGCAAGAGGTGAGATTTGGGCCTGCTTCCCCCTCACCTGGGAGCCAGCAAAGACCCCAGCCCAGCGGGGCCTCAGCCCAGGATTCCATCAGTCACTCCAACTGGCATGGAGGTACAGGCACGTTTCTGTCTGTCTCCAGTCCTACCCCGCCCCCCACTTCCCAACTCCCCGTCCCCATCCCTTCTTCGTCTCCCACCCACGATCTCCACTCTTCTCACCCCACCCCACCCACCGCTCTCACTTCCCACTCAGGCTCTTTCCCAGCTACAACTGTCTTGGCAGGACAATTTTCCATGATCACAGCCAAGCTGTCGTCCCTGGGGAAAGACTGTGCTGGGAATGGAGGCTGCTTGGGTCCCCTGGGTCTGAACCCATGGGCCAGGAGTAAAGAAGGGGGGTGAGGTGAGGTGACTGAGGCACAGCTGACCACTGGGTCCTCTCTGCAGAAGGACAGACTCAAAGGTGGCAGCAGGACCTCTCACGCTTTCTGCCTCTCCGTTCCTGAGGGGCGAGGCCCGAACTGCGTAGGGCATTATTACAGGCAGGCGTCTGTGGGGCATGGGGCCAGGTCTGACGAGGCGAGGCAGAGGGGGGCACAGAGCCACTCTCCCTTCCCATAAGTCCTCCTCGCCTCTTAGCAGCTGTCATCCCATGTCAAAGCCAGTGTCAAAAGAGAGAAGGGGGGTGGAGGATGGCAGGAAGACAACACTAGCTTTCACCTAACAACTATTTATTCAGACTCATATTCCATGCCCTGTGTTCGGCGCTGCTGAGACAAGGAAGTCGCAATTACTCAGCACCTACTATGGGTCAGGCCCCAGGCTAGACACCGGGGTATGCGAGCAAACACTTATCACTCCACATAGGTGCCAGGGACCAGGCTAGGTGAGTCCCACGCATTATCTCACTTAATCTTCACAGCAGCCCTATGAGAGAAGGACGCTTTTTCTGTCTTTCACATGAGGAAACGTCACTCAAAGACATTAAGCAGCAATACTGCGAGTCAAATCCACAGTTGCCTAATGTCAATACTCTGCCACTCCACCCAGCGACTGGCCTGGCTCCCGATCACTGAGACCCCTCTAGAAAAGTGAGAGGTGGGGGCTGACCGGTGGCGTGGTGGTAAGAGCAGCTAGATCCTACGTGGCTGATTACATGGTTCGAGTCACAGTCCTGGCAGCTTTGAAAACCACCAGGTGGTGCTGGCAGGTGGCATGGTGGTTAAGGTACTGGACTCCCACATGGCTGACCATAGTTTGAGTCCCGGACCTGGTGGCTTACCTTCTCATTTTCTCTCTCTGTCTCTCTCTGGTCAAAATTGAAGAAGAAGAATAAATAAAATTTTTAAATGAAAAAAAAATGCCAGGCACATGTGCACATGTGTCCACAATCCCAAAAAGAGGAAGAAATGGAGAAGGATTGTGGCGTGACCATTCCCATGGGAGCAGTGCTGTCTCACTTCCCCTCTCACTCACTTTCTCTATTTCTCTCCAGGAACCACATATGCCCTCTGACAAAAATTTTTAAAAAGGAAAAGAAAGGGAAGAGGATGAAGGGGAGAGGAGGGGACCCTGAGCAGATAAGGAAACTGGATGACACTGCCCTGGGCAAACAAATGCCAGCCTGCAAAAAGTCAACGGTGCCCCCAACCTCCAAACACAGAGAATCTCCAAATACAGATGGGGCCACCCCTGGAGGACAGGCCTGTCTTACCCACCTTTGTGCTTGCCCCATAGGGAGTGTCAGGGTACATTTTCTGAATCCACGTTTGACAGCATCTCACAGAGATGACACCCAGTACCCCAGCGCCCAGCAGTCGGCACATAGCTCAGCACCCAGAGCAGCTGAGGATGCTCCTGCTCACACCCCCTGGAGGCCACAGCAGGGAGCAGGAGAGGGAAGAAGCTGAGCATACGGACAGGCCCAGCCCGCCTCCCTCCTGGAACAGCCACAGGTAGCCTCTCCAGTCCTTCCATCTGCCCCAGCCACACGCCCGCTAACTTCATCTGATGGGCCCCAGACACCCCAGGCCACCAGACAGAACAGTAACCACAACTACAGCCACTACAGAGAGAAAAGCAAAAACTGTGGCATCTGGAAACAGAGGGCCCCGGCAGCCTGGCTAAGTGGATACTGCACTTCTCCAGTCTCCACACACCCCAGGGCTCCAGTCTGCGTGTAGCCCCACTCTGACCCCTCTCAGTCTGGGTGGCCCATGAAAGTTGGCTCAGCCTAGGGGGCCCTCAAGCCAAGCGTTTGGATCCAGGATCCCCGTAAGGCACTAACACTATTCTCTGGCTCTGCAAAGCTGTAAAGAACAATATGAGAATAACAATGTTGACCGACTTCATAGCCTAGTAGTTAAGGAAGTCATATGGCAGACCACAGTTCGAATCCTAACCCCAGCAGCTTGAAAAACACACTAGCCACATGTATGTGCATGCCCCAAATCCCAGAAGAATGAGAAATACAGGAGAAGGAATTGCAGAGTGACCATGCTCCATTGGGGCGCTTCCTTCTCTCCCTCTCTCTGTCTCTCTGGCAAGCATACACACCTTCTGGTAATTAAAAAATAAGGGGAAAAAATAAGAAAAACAGTCCTACTAACACTTCCACAGCACTCACCATGGGCTGCGCACTATTTTAAGCATCGTTTATATGTTAAAAACTGTAAATCCCTAGAACAATTCTAGTAGCAGTACTCTTATTTACTCCAGTTTACAGTTACAAGAACTAAATGAGGCTAAAATCACAGAGGAAAGTGAGGTTAGACCTTGAAGTCTCAACCCATGACGAGATTGAAAGAATCAAAACAGAGAAGGTCTTTCCATGAATGTTAAGGAAGGAGACCTACAGCTCAAAAACCGGAGATGAGCGGAGCTACCTGGCCTCTAAGGCGTCGGCAACGAGCAGAGCGCCCCCTGCTGGAACCATAGCATGGCCAGGCAGGCAGGCCCCTCTGGGAATGCCCCCTGGCTTGGCTCTGGGAGACAGAACCAGGGGCCACCTTCAGAGAGGAGGGGAAAAATGACAAGAGATCAAGCTATTAAAAATAACCTAGAATTTGCCTGGAAATAGCTCAGAGAGTTCAGCATGTCCTAAAAAGGCCTCCAGACCGGGAACTCTGGCAGATGGGAGAAAGAGGGAGGGAGACAGAGATGAGGGAGGAAGCCGACAGCAGGCTGAAGAAGAGGTGAAATCAGTTACTTTCTACTTCCCCAGAAATTTGGGGACACTGACCCTGCTCCCAGACAATGAGGGTAATGAAAGAAGAAAGATTAGAGGCAGCCCTTCTCCCCAAGTGATGAGAAATGAGCTCCTGTCGCTGCCTCCAACTTCAACCCCCAGGCCAACAGTAGGGGGGTGGGGGGAGAAGACAGTCCCAGTGGACAGCATTGATCCCAGTAATGGACACTTAATGTGGCTTAGGCACTGACTGAGGAGAGAAAAGCCCCCTGGCAGGAGCTGGGGGAAGCTTTCTCCTCCTTCTTGCCTCTCTTTACAACTGTACAAATAACAAGAACCAAGAGGGCAGGAAGTAGACCAGCCACAGAGCACACAAAAAGGTGTGCCCATCTCTCAGGGATCCTAAACTGACCAGGAAAGAACTAGCAAGTCCTCTGCCCCCTTCTCCCTGCTGTTCCCTAGTGCTGAGATCCCTGGAGTTGGGGATTTCCTGAGGAGAAGGAAGGGGACAGCCTGGGAGAGCATCCATCCTGGGTCTCTCCCGCTGCTGCTGCTGCTGCTGCTGCCGCTGCTGGTTGCCACTCCGG